TCACCCCCGAAGTCAAACTCGCTCAACCCTGGTGCCAAAGGCAGTGTTTCGAACCATCTTGGCCAGAAACGAAACAGTGCAACATGGCACGGGATACGAAACAGTGCAACATGGCACGGGATTGACTTGCTCGAAACCGCCGAAGAAGTGCCTTCTTCCTTTTGCGTGCAAAAATGCATTCTGATTCGATAATGCTGAAAGCAAGCAAAAAAGGATCGAGGTCAAGAACTCCAGCGCCATCGCAGGGATCACGTAAGGCCTCAGTCACGGCGAAAAGCACCGAGCCGGAGGTCGGCCAATACGGGAGCCAGTGCTGCTAAAAGTAAATGTCGCGAAACAATTGCACTAGCAAACGGGCACACAAGAGATTGGGCAAACTCCGTCATTTTGCGCTACGAAAATTGAGGGGCCTCTACGCAAGCATCCTTCATCAGAAAGCTGCCTACTGCTGAGAGATTGCAGTGTTGGTTGGCATCACTTGTTGCCATCAACGTTTATGTCCCCCCCAAGTATTCAAAGTAGCCTGTGAAATACAAGCAGGTCGAGGCTCCAAAGAAGATCGATTGCCCCACGCACGTATAAAACACCATACCCTAAACCTGCACATCAGGCAGGAGGGGTCTAATAAACCGCATATAGGGACCATTCCTATTCTCAGACACGCCCCACCAATCATGGCAATATCGGCAGGCAGCACATTATTTTTTTACAGAGGTCAGCTGCAAGCTTCCTTTTGGAGTGGTAACTTTAGGTTTGTCGTGGTTGATTCCCCATTGTGATCTCAAGAACCAGCTGTTTCCCAAATGCTTTTTCGGTGGCTTCCTAAGAAGGATCCCTGGAAATGGGGGAGCTTCAAGGCTGCAAAAAGTGCGCCCGGAGCTTCTGCAATCTATAAGCCTGGCAGGCGGCAGCAGCACCAGCGCGTAGATCTGCTTCATCACCGCCAGCCAGGAGGAGCCCGCCAGGCACAAGGGGAACTTGATGTGTTTGTACCCGAAGGGCGACCACAGCGTGCCTCACCACCCCCCACTCCCCCGACTCCCCCCCCCCCTTCCAAGCAAAAGACTTCAGCTGTTCCGGCCCTTTTACCTCAATAAATCTGAGTCAGGGCCAGCGCTGTAAGGTTCTCTGAGAGTAGCAGGATACATCCGAAACCTTGAAAATGGAGGGATTTACAACCGGATCTCCTACAATTCTTCAACCTGAATGGTTGCAGCAAATCGAGTAAGTGTCTATGTTTGAAGTGGGAATGCACCAGTTTGAGCCAGATGCTTCCCCCCAACATGTTTCGGCCAATTGAGGCCAGCTCAGGCCAACCCAGCCCTAACCGCTTGGACGGTTTTTGTCGGGTGTGCCACCCAGTGTCCTTGAAAAACGAAAAGCAGCTTGGCGGGACCAAAACAGGGCCGGTCAATGTGAAACTGCTTGCAAGCTGATTGTGCCAGGGTACGGCCCAAATTGGCATTCACCATCCCATCAGGGTTCGTTTTTTAGCAAGGCTCAGCAAACTCACCTCAGAAACTAAGTTCAAAGGGATCGAACTTCAGTCATACGGAAACCTGTGACCTGTGAGACATAGTGACAGTCACCACCACGGACTTGCCCTGCCCATTGATCCAATCTAAACATCGCCTTCTTGACATTTGCTGGATTTTGCTTGAGGACCCTTCGACTCGGCTCACAATCGGGACAGCCGTAAATATGTTTTCTGTTTACTTGTCTTTCCACTCGGTAGACCCAGAAGCGTTTTCTCGACCCATCCGAGTGGCGATAGTTCGCGTCCTCGATGTCATCCTTGAAGACCTGAGCAGCATACATGTTCCACTCCCGAGCCCTGACGGCAGCAAGACCACACTGGTGCTTCAGAACTTCAAGCAAAGCCAACTCATTGGTAACTGACATGGATCAGTGGAGATGTCTGTCATTCACTGAAATGCCGTGGTTGCCGAACATCTTCACAAGGGGCGGACAAAAGCTGGCACCTTTTGCCATAAGAGCCAACGTTCTCTTCGGAGGTGCCGTCCGTACCAAGCTTGCGAACGAGGAAGGTGATGGCAATTCGAGTAAGTCAGCAAAACAGGCAATGTGTAATGGCAGAGGGCAACGTGTAATGCTCCAACCCCGGGGGATGCCGGCGCCTCAAGTCCCAAGGCAACCGGCTCCCAGACCCCCCCTCCGCCAGAATAAAACGAACGACCCCTGGCGTCCGAGATGCAGCGCCGGGGCTTTGGATACTCAGCTGACCCCAGAGCCCCAGGCCGGCCGCGAAGTTTGGGGAGGTGCCTCGAGCTCTGCGAATGTGCGAGCCGCTGTTCAATCGCGGCGGGTTGCTACGAGGTTTTCCAGTTGGTGTATCGATCCTCAGCCCCGAACAAAAAAAGGTGCCCCAATAAAAGTAGCTTTGTTTTTGAATCCCAGCGTCCGCAAAACAAAACTAATAAAGCAAAATCTAAACACACCAGATTTCTCCCACCAACCTCTCCACCAGTCGCATTAGAGGAGCCTCTGCCCTCAGTCAGTTAAAATTAACCACCCAACTCTGGAACCGGGGACCCGCCACAGGATGCTTCTTGGGGGGCCGCCAATGAGACGCTGGTAATTGAGACCGTGTAGCCCCTATGAGGTAGAGTATGGTTCTGCTTCAACCCATGTAGCCGCGTGAATTGCCAAGTTAAGGTAGCGGCTGGTGCTGGCTGACAGCTTAGACATGTGCCCGAAGGTGATTCAGCGCCCTCGCAAGTCGAGTTCAGCACCTCCCCGCGCGACATATCAAGAAACGGCTCACTCGGTCTGAGCCACTGAAAGAGAACCGTCAGCACATCAGCTTAGCAGGGATGAAGTTGCAGGCTTATTGAAGCCAGTTCAACGGCACGCAGCCCCATACGCAGCACAGGCAGCTTCAAACATAGGGACCCCCCGCTTCTTTGTAGTTTTAAGGGAAAGCCAAAGGAAAACAAAACAATGTTCTGCGTTATTCAGTTTAGGAAATATGCACTTGGCCCAGGCAATGCGATCGCTAATGGAGAGCAACATAATTCTTGGCAGTATAACTTCTTGCAACCGAAGAACCCCGTGTTTCAAGCCCGGGAGCAACTTATTGAATGCTTTTCAAAAGCAAACCAAGAGGGCATCACTCACTGAAACACAATATGAACCTCACTTAAGACTCCCCAATGCATCCGCACAGTTTATTAAGACCATGCCCGGAGCCACGGTGCCACGGCCAGTTTCACAGCACCAGCCCAAAGGAATACCTTTATCGATATACAAAGAGTTAGCTTTCAAGCGACAGTTGGCCATATCCAGTCCTGGCAAAAGGCCTCCGCAGAGATCCCTGTGGGCCCTCGGCCCCCAAGCCATGTTTTGAGACGTGCCATCCCCGACAAAAACAGATGTGATTTTAAAACCTGGAGCCAAAAACATAGCTGAAAGGATCCACCGGCGGCACGCAACAAAGCACTTGCAGTAACCACTTCGAGCGTTTCCCGTTCGAGAGGTGAAATCGCGCGCTTGGTTCATCCCCTGGCTAGCTGAACAAAGCAGGGCCGCGAGGCCGTGAGGGACACGTCGGCCTTTCGGCTCTCGACACTTTTGAAAGTTTCGCCAAAGTGCACCACACCGCCATCAAAGTCAGCACCTCGTTGTACTTGGAGCCCTCCTCGACTTGATGCCGTCGCCCAAACCTGTGGTAAAGGCATTGGCGTCCATTGGCGTCCATCAGGAGTTCGAAACTCCAAGGATTTCTTGATTTCACCCCAGCGGGTTTTAGCTGAACATCCGCCGGAACACACCATTTCCCCATGGGTGCCCTCCTAGCAAGGCTGGCTTGGATTCACATTTCAATCAGCAGGCTGGAAGGAACCTTACCTGAGAACTGAGAACGCTAGCACACCTCTTGACATGCCCTACAGTCTTTTGGCGGCATTGCCTGACAACAAAGCACAACATCCAGAAAGCTACAAGTGAATTACGGGTACTGCCTGGACAGGCCACGCAGGGCTCCATGTCGAGGAAGGACGATATCCAATACTGTGTTACTTTTTGAATCATGCCCAAGAGGACCTGCAGAGTTGTTACCGACCCATACGGGACCAAAAATCAAAACTCCAAAAGGTCCAAGGCTTGGCATGTGAGTGAAACACGAGACGACCACTAAACAAGGTAAGTCGCCTCTCGAAGTCCTGGTGCATGGCATTGATCGCGAAAGCGATGAATGCCCTTAGTGCAATGACTCCCGAACGGCAGCTGGTGGTCTTGCCAACAGGTTGCACCAACCTCAAAGCGAATGGCCGGGTGGTGAACCATATAAGCATGCTTTTGACCCATGTGTTGGTAACGCCCTGGTTCTCAAGAAAGGCCGTTGTCGCGCAATATGAGCAAATGCATCAAACAAGATGGGGTGGTCATCTCGAGAAAGAACTCACACACTCAGTTGATTGAAGCCTAACTTCAGCTTCACACTGCACACATCACATAACCTGTATAAATATGTAAGTTATATCATATATATATATATCCATGCCCCGCTTGAATCTGACAACTGCACCTCTCCGATGCCACGGAAACCAGGAGCTGGACTAACTCCAAATCCTAGACCCTGCACTGCTCCCAAGAAAGACGACAGTGCTACTGTTAAGGACCGTCGCTCACTCAACCATCAGGTAACAGGTCGGGTTTCCCCTAGCTTTTCTCACGCGATGCTAAGGGACCCTATTGCACAACTGTAGGAAAAAACCCAAGCAAGATAGCAACAACCACGAGCAGGGCAATATTCATTGACGTCTGGTTTTACGAACATGGCATACAGGTCCTGAACTAGGTAGTAGACTCCCACAATCGCCGATGGGGATTTAGGCGCTGAATTGTGGGAACCCAAGGGGGTCCAGCCAAACCACTTGAAGTGACATGTTGCAGCTAAGGCTTTGCCAGAACCAAAAGCTGCCCATTGCCCTGGGTGAAGTGCAACCGATGTGAGCCCGCCGGAATCTATACGCATCCCAAAGGGACAGCCAACAGTTGAAAAATGGTCTTCGGTACGTAGGCCGGCCCCCAAAACTCAGAACATCCCTGCACCATGTGTGGCAACGGTGGCACCTACGGGGTTTCCACACTCTGGATTGGAATGTGTTTCCTTAAAAACGCCTTGGACTCAACTGTGGTGCCAAAGGGCCTTCCCTTTTGGCAGCCAGTGGAGCTGTTCTTTTGGGACGGCTTTCGCTTGCGAGCAGCTCTGATGCAATCCCTGCGGTTGTTGGCCGGAAAAGAGGACTTGCAATGCTGCCCAGTGTATTTCCAGGTCCCTTAACAATGCAGTCAGTAGTGGCCGTCTCTTTGGCTTGCACCAGACACCAGACACACTTGGTGAATATTGGAGACTAATTCCTTCCAACCCATCCTTGACGACGTGGCGCTTACATCGATGTAAGGCTGCACCAAGCTGCGCCAATCCAAACCCAAATCCGCAACAAATGTTTTCCAATGCCTAGGCAGCACCGCCATTAGAGCCGAGATGCACCTTGACAACGGAGCTCACGATGAGCTTCAGGATCTTCGTCATCTTTGAGGAGTCTTTTGGTTTGAACTTCACGTCGAATCCAAACCTGTGGCTGCAGCCAACTGACCGGTTTCTCCAACTGGTCATTGTCAGGCTGGAACAGGGGCAAATATACCTGTAGTGTAGGAAGTGCTTCTTGTTTGCTCGCCTCCGTGCCACTGACTTGCTCTCCCCTTTTCCCCTTCCTCAAGCAGAAGGGCATCTCAAGAAAGCGAGCGGAAAGGGTAAGCGACAGCAAACCGAAGGGCCCAACCATTTGCAGGGAAACGACACTAGCTCTCCACATTTCGCAGCCGTCAGGTCCGTCGGCTGGGGCCGGCACACGAAGAACGTAAAAAGCTGCTTGAGGCCGTTCATCACCTCGCCACAGCCCCATGGACCCCTTGAAAAGGGTGAAAGCAACAGGAGCAAATTTGCAATGATTTGCAACCGTTCCACTTAAGTTTTGAGGAACCATCCCAAAACGAGAAAGATTTACAAACAAGAAGTTCAAAGAGACACCACCAGCCTTTGTTCCATGTATCTTCGTGCAAGCTCTCCCATGCTTACGCAAGTGATAACTGCAGGCTGGTTGGTCCTTTGCGCTTGAGGCGATTTGTCTTGTGGATGCTCGTGTGCACTTCTCAGCCCTCCCACGCACCTGCCCGAAAGCCTGAAAGCTCAGGGCACGATCCACAAATAGCAAGCAGATTTCGGTTGACTTGAACCAGCGTGTGCAACAACTGGCTCCCTCTTTTGGTCTCACTGGTGCTGGCTGGATATGGAAGCAACTGTCGATGCAATATTGGGCCAACAAGCAACGTGACTCACAGGTCGATCCAGACCTCACTGTTCCAGGACCGCATTTTGCCAAATGCGGCGGAAATGCCACAACAAAGCTTCTGAGGACTCGGCTGGAAGCAAGTAGATCGGCTGCATGGTTTCCTTGGGCAAGAGCAATAAAATTCAACATACCATCTGTGGCAGCCAGACAGTAAGCTGTTTCAGGTGCTTGTAGTGATTAAAATCATCACCACAGTCTCCAGAACGTCGTGGGGCGTGAGCTCTTCAACCGGTTCTGATGGGAAATCCGAAATGTGTCTCACATATATTCCCCCACCAACGAAAACGGAAGTGCAACACCTTCAAACCTCAAGGAGGGAAAGCCGAGGATGGGGATGCTGTCACCGCAAGAAAACCGAGCGCTTTCAAGGCCAGGCTACTCTTTGGCTTACCCTTTGGTTACCCTTTGGCTTTAACCGTTGCTCCAATCGAATTGCAGCCAGAGCCGGTGCCTGAGCTAAATTGCAGCCAGCGGCTGGCTGCAGCAGATCAGAGAAAGGGTCCCGAAGTGTTCCGTACCTGCAGTGCTTGGATCCGGGAGACGGAACCCAGGGAGCAACAGCGGGAACCAGCTCCTCCAAAAAGTTTAGTTGCTGGCGAAAACTGGCAACAAAGGAAATCCAAGATACCACACTAAGGGCAAAAAGGTTATTCAGTCTGGCAAGAGCTTTCCAGGAGTTTACTCTTTTATAATATGAAAGAGGTTGAAGAGTACTTCGCACTGAAGTTGTGGGATCAAGGCCGCGCATTTCAGGGCAACCTGCGTTGTTGTGAAGGCCAAGGCGAACATTGGAGAGCCGTTGGGGCCGTGGGGACAACAAAACAATTCTAGAGGACAACGTGGCACACAAGACATGTAATTACAGCAATATGCTGCAAAGTTATCAAGACTGACCATCTCGCAACAAGGGCAAACAAAATGCAGCAGCTCTACATGCCGGCTCAGTGCACCCCCTGGAGTCACTAGAGACATGTCCGTTGCGTCGCGTGCTTACCTCGGTGGAGAGTTTGCCTGAACGATGAACGTTCATGCTTGCAAGGTTTTCACGAAGCAGAGCGCGGGGATGGAGAGACGGGGTAAGCTTCTTGCGGAAAATATAGTTGACCCTACAAGTATTTCATCCATGGTCGGTTAAAATTTCCGAACCTATTTGCAAGGTTGCCCACCGCCGGAAACGATCTCACTAATTGCTTTTGGCAACTTAAGTCTTTGTGTGCCTTCGTTGCGAGGTGGCTTCGACGTGCTGAAACATTCATCCATATTCACGTGGCATATCTTTGAAGAAAGCCATCACAGGGTTCGCCTTGAGCAACATGCGATGAGCAACGGACAATGCGCACATAGCTGTACTAATGCTCAACGCCCTCTTCAGAAAGGAGGGGCAAACCTTCCTTGCGATTTGCACGTCCCTGATGTTGCCGTCCCCACGTCCCGCCTATCCGTCGTCTCGGCCTTGGCCGGGCTTATCAGGTCCTCAGCGTCGAGATGGAGCTAGCCTGGTGCCCTCTCAGCCGGGGAAACGGCTCCGAGCGCGGCAATGCGTCCGTAATTAGGTCTTAAGGAAAGCAGGCATAAAGCAAACCATTTGGAGGGCTTGTCCAAGTGGGGTCTCTGAGCTAGCTTCATGCCCACTCCTGCTGCTCTTACTTGCCATGGCGCCGGCATGAGGCTGTGCACGTCCTCCGGCTCTGGTTTGGAATCCGGCGGCAGGTAGGTGGGGTAGATGGGATAGGCGGGGTAGACGGGGGGTCGCAGCCCGGGTGTCCTCTGATGTCCACCGATTGCAACGGCATTCGGCACTGCTGATCATCCGGTTTTTGGTGGGGAACCAAGCCAAAAGGGTAAACAGTGTGCCTCTGATCAACTTGGAACCCGTGCACCCTTCACAAATATTTGCGGCTCAGCAGCGGCCCGGGTGCGGGCGCTGGCGCTTCCGGCGCCGGCGCCGGCGCCGGCCTGGGCAAAGTGGGTGTGGGCTTGTCAAAATGTGCAGCGGTTCCATCACTGCTGTTTAGACTCTAGACGTTGGTTTCATTGAGGTTTTAGCTGTTTGCTAGAAGTTGCTTCTACGTCAATGCTTCCACGGCCCGCTTGTTAAAACCGAGTGGGCCCCTGAAGGCGGAGGTAAGGACCGCAAGCTTACATGTGCGTCCTCTTATCTGCTTCACGCTTGGATTTGCACACAGAACGGAACCGAACAGAACAGTTGAACAGGGACCTCCCCATGCCAAGGCCAGACCGAACAGGGTTGACTACAAAAGGGTGCCTAGGAGGGAAACACTGTCAACACAACACATTACCAGAATTCAATTCCCGCCTGCAATCCTCGCCGCGAACACTGCGACTGTGCAGTTGACGATGGGCTGGTCAGTTTGACGAAGTTACTCGTGTATTGCTCGTGGTCTTGACAGTAGCCATGCTTCCCAACCACCAAAAAGCGTTGTGTTTCTGGTCAGGTGGACGATCATTGTTCAAGAAATAAACACTTAACATAAAGAGCTCACATTTCCCCCATGAGAACTGAATGTACGTTAGCTTTTCTACAGCCAAGACACACGTAGGTCGGCCAGGCAAAGCAGCAGCCCAGGTTCAAGCCGTCCTGGAACAAAACAAATTCTCAAAGTATTTATCCTGAGACCTGCTTAAACAACTTCAATCATTTCTTTTTCCCACAGCAATGACTGAATAAAGACCATGCATAAAAGCTGAAGCATTGCAAAGCTTGGCGTTGGACAGCTCACCCTGTCTCACATGGACTTTGAAACAAATGGTGATGTTCAAAATGGCAATTGTATCACGGAAGGTTACTTGGAAAACCGAATCTCCCTAGCCAGCGGATTCTGTGGGGAAACTTCCGAAATTCCTTGGAGGAAATTATCCTGCTTGCCCTTTGCTTTGACAAAGGGATTCTGCGAACGCCTACTAGCCCTCTAAAGGACCTGGCCTGTCTGGATAGTGGGCAATTCGGGGCAACAAATCCTATAAGTCTATGTTGGCATGCAACTTGGCTATGCCCAGCTCCGCTTGTCCTTTTGCTGCTTCAGCGGGGGATGTCTACCAACATTGGAGCAAGGGACGGAAGCACGTGCAGAAATCAGCATTCGGCAGTCCCAAGGACTGAATTGAAGCCAAAGAGAGCGAAAGCCCCCCTGCTGGCACTTCTGACTCCATTTGTCCCTCACACGCGCGCCCAAAGGCGGTGAGTCATGAAGAGGTGCCACCTACCATCAGCCCAAAAGGCAACCAAGGACGAAACTTCTGGATTCCACGCACTCAACGGGCCATTTGACCTCAACGGCAGGTTGTCACAATCTTGACTTCTGTGGTAGCGTGGGAAAAGCGGCCTTCCAATGACCCTTCCGATCTCTCATTTAGAAGGCTGGGATTCCGGAAAAATGTTTCGCAACCTACTTCACTCCTACAACACTCCGGAAATCATGGTAAGCGTTGCTCACATGTTCATTGACAGATTCGCGACGTAGCAACTCGTTGGTGCTTCCGTTCCAGATCGAGAAAATCTCCGGGACTTGTCTTTTGCTGCCCAGGCCAAGGGCATTCCAGTGTAGAAAAGGGACACCGTGTTCAAAAACAAATAACATTTCTCAAGAATCTCTCTCCAGGCACTTCACTTGCCTCAAGTTTAACCAAAGACCGGGGGCCTCAAACTTTTTCGGAACCCTCAGACGCAACGACACCCCCTGCCCCACATTTCAATTCGGGTCCCAGGTGGGGCAGCAGTCGCCCGACAGGCCGGAGCATCCCGGGTGCAGCGCGCAACTTGCCCCGTGGCCCTTTGCAGGCCTGAGTTGTGTGCCCACTTCAGGAATTTGACCCCAGAAGACAAACAAATACAGACCGAAAGAGACAACATGGAGAGAAACAAAAGGAACCAGCCGCAAAGGCCTCCTTTTTTGGGCGCGACATACTTCCCTTCCTGACATCTACCATTTAAACATCACCTCAAAGGAAAGACGATGCAAAAGATGAAGCCGCGAGAAAGAGAAATGCACGAAACACTGGGAAGGGCTGGCAAGACCAGCATTGCTTGAATTTACATGAGGTATTTGTCATTTCCGATTTTCGAATATATCGCTACCTGATTGCAACTTCGCAGCAGTGCTTGCTCATTTAGGGAGGAAAACGTGAACTTCCGCAACGTAGAATTCAGATTCATATAATGAAGCCCAGGATCAACAATCCCTTGGTTCAGGATTGCACGTTTGGGGCGGTCCCCCCTAATCCACCAAGTTGACTCATCTGCACCACTGCCTTGATCCGAAACAGCCAGGCAGCTCCCCCACGTAGAGATCAACAGCGGCCGCCACGTGCGCAGATGTGCTCGACCTCGCCGGCCTCGCGGCTTCAGTAGGGGACCTTTTTGGAACCTCTCGCCCAGGGAGAGCCCAAATTCAAATCTTCACGAACAGAACATGACAGAAGAAACATCAACCCCTGAATTTAACCCTGAACATGCGAAGAGATGTTCTTCGGACTCGATCCTTCTCGCCGCCTTCATGTGCAGTCAGTGCTCGCAGCTGGACCCAGAAAGGGCCGCAGAATCAGGGCTGTCTCACAAAAGGTAACCTCTCGATACCTCTCGAGTCAAGCCAAACGGGCACTTACCGTCGACATCCGTCGACAAACATGTAACTTTCTGAAAGAAGGCGTCGACGCGCTTGAGCGGCAGTGGGCTGACAAAAATGGTGTCGCCAACAGAACCATAATCTGGAAACAAGAAACCAGCATGAAACCAACCATTTGTCGCTGTGCATCGCTGTGCATCCCCATCGGGTTGAACACCGGCTGTACTAAACGAACCTCAGAAGGGTTGTCCAATCCTAATCCATGATCCCAATTGAAAAGCCGTTGCAAAGGGGGTCCATCCTTTCGAATCTCTTTGGCGTCGTGAGAGTCTACCCTTGTTGTATTTGCTTCTCTGGAAGCGATGAGACATGAGAATGGAAAGGAAGTGGTAAGAAACAAATACAAAAAGCAAAACAAAATAGCCCCCTTCTTCATGTCAGTGCAACGCCACAAAAGAAGAATGTCAGAAATTCATTCGGAACAGCCTCAGATTCTGGGCGCTTCAATGATTCTGGGCGCTTCAATGCGAATCAACTCTACTAGCCGTGTCTCAAAACTAGGCACCCCCAGCCTGGTCATTTGGGGCTGGCTCAAGGAAGGGCGGCCAGCAAAACACCACAGGGCGCGAGGAAACATGCAACACGACTTGGACACCATGCCGTGGTCAATACCTACTCTCCACGGCACCTCCGCATCACCAAAAGTGCCGCTGCGGCGAAAGCCAGGCAACACCCGGCCTCAGCATCTGCGAATCTGCGCGCTGGGGGGGTGTTCCAGGGCAAGTACTGGGGGTTGCCCGGGGCGACCCGTGGGAAGCTCTAGGTTGATTGCTTGATTTCGTGGGTATGCGACTCTCTTGCCCATGCAAAGCGCGGGAATTGGTACTGACGAAAGCCGACAGGGCGCTTTCGATAAGACAGCAACTGATATGGGGGCGCTGCGCTATGTTCTGGCATCAGCATCTTTTATTCACAAGGCGCCTTGCGCCTTTTTCGCGAGCCAGCAGAGTTCTGCTCGGCGCCGGCAGCCAGCAAGCAATCCGTCACAGTGTGGTGGCCATTTGACATTGCATAATCTATTGGAGTGCGTCTGCACATGTCTGCCTCGTTCTCCGCAGCCCGAGCTTGTAGCAAGCAACGGGCCACCTGATGGTGACCGTTGGCGGCCGCGTAGTGCAAGGGCATACCTTAGGCTGATTGGCCAGTCCAACACAGAGAAAGTAAATCTCTATCAACACCATTCTGCATGTTTTCGTGACAGGCCATGTTGTAAAACACCAATCGAACCTTGATCCAGGCACGGCCGTGCTTGTCAGCTCTGTCAGGGTCAGCCCGAGCTTCCAGCAAGCAACGGACAACTTCCTCATGGCCGTTCCAGGCAGCCATATGCAGCGGGTTGGAATTGCCCACGTCGGCTTTCTCCAAGTCAGCGCCAGCTTCCAGCAAGCGGCGTACAGTTTGCACATGGCCACCCGAAGCAGCACTGTGCAAGGGTGTCCGCCCTGCAGTATCGGCTGCATCCCGGCAGGACCTGCTATGTTCAAGTAAGACGCGCACGGCCTCAGCATACCCAAACTTGGCCGCCATATGCATGGGTGTGCGCCCGGCTTGGCCTGCCTTGCACTGATCAGCGCCAGCTTCCAACAAGCACCGCACAACTTCAGCGTCGCTAGCACAGGCCGCGTAAAAAAGAGAGCTGTTCCCAAATCTGTCATCGTTGTTGACGATGTCGTTCTCATAACTGGGCAGCAAGCACCTCACCACTTCTACATGGCCAATTGTGGCCGCATCATGAAGAGGTGTGCGCCTGTCTTCGTTAGTTTTTTGCGCGTCCGCGCCAGCCTCAAGTAGGCCACGGACAACATCGGCGTGGCCCCGTCCGGCAGCCAAGTGAAGAGCAGTTCTGCCCATGCGGTCGCTGGCGTCTGGATCCAAAGGCCTCCGCAACCAGCCCCCAACGGGATGTGGCAGGAACACAAGGGTTCCAGACCCAGTAAGAAAGACCTTTATGCTTCCCAAGGGGGGATTAGGCAGCCTACATTACACATTCACACGCGCAATATGACACATTGGCACAGCAAGGCCGCCAAAATCAATACAACTACTGGCGGCAAACTTCGCGAAAAGAAATTGCCGAAGCCATCAAGGGAGCTGTTCCAACTGCCTCACCACCTCAGCTCCGTCACCAGCACCGGCTGCCTCAAGAAGGTTCTGCACATCTGCAGCCGATCTCAAATACTGACGCACCACAGCAACCAGTGGCTCATCTGTCCATGGGCTCGATGATTGCAGCATACTTGCCTCAGTTATTCCGGTCACTTGCCGGAACCAGCTTGAATCCAATATGGAGACTTTGACGGCACTGCATTTGCATCGACCATGCGATGACTCGCCCCGACACCCTCAAAACCTGCCGATATGCCAAAGGCTCGCCACATGCGAGCCCGATCTGACGGAAGTTGCGCACCTGCAGTCGCCTCGCCACTTCGCGCCTGAGCAAATCCACGAAACAGCTGTGTCCATCTCCCTCGCAGTCCGCGCGTAAGGCAGCAAACTCCTTCTCTGTCAGGATCGCCTCGCCCGAGACCTTCCTCACCACCCCCATTGGAAGTCTGCTATGAGAAGGGCCGCGCTTTCGATGGCCACCCACAAAACGCACCCTGCGCTACGTGGTGGAAAGAGCAGGCGAATGGGCCCCAACAATTGCTTGGCAGAAGCCCCATCCAAAGTAGCCTAACGTGTTGGGAAACCAAATGGTCAAAGGCTTGGCAGAAGCCCCATCCAAAGTAGCCTAACGTGTTGGGAAACCAAATGGTCAAAAGGTCTTATTTGAACAACTGAGGCTTGCAATCCGGGGTAGCACGCGAAATCTCCCTTTTTGGGGTTCCTGCAAATGAGGCAATAGGGGCAAAAAAGCAGGAATTTTGCGATATCATCGATATCAAGGACGCCCCTGATACAGGGTTGGCGAAGCCCAAAAGGGATGGGAATCCCGTGCTCGTACCTCTCGGCCACAATGAGTTTGAACATTTACATACCTCGCCCAAATTCACAACCAAGCAGCCAGGAAGGCATGAAAAGGTACATCAAAAAGTTGGATGTGGGCGCTCCCCCAAAAGCAAACAAAGAAGCAAGAGTGAGTGCAGCTGGATGTGCCCCTCCTCCCCCCCACCCAGGGAACACACTGGAATTTAATCTTGGTAGAGCGTTCGGAGACTGGGCTGTTGGGCCAAGACCCACCGCGCCAGCCCATGCGGGAAGCAACCCATGGCTTCGCGTGCGGGGGGCTAGCTCGGAGATCCACCCAAAAGAGTGTTATCTGGGGGCAGTTTCTGCTTCCCGAGCTTCCGCAATTGCAAGCAGGGGTCCTGCAATTCACCGTGCGATTGCCTTGCCTGCATGGCTTTCCAAATCCAGCATCCCTTGCTGCTCTCAGTCCAGTCGGTCCAGAAACAACGCCGGAATGGCTTGTCCGATCGCTGGGTTCACCGATGCTCTCTCTGGGGTCCTTGACAGGACGTTTCCCATTCGCTTGCCGGCTCCTCTGAGCCAAAGTGTTGCAGCGGTGCCTGAAACTGGCCTTGGCACAACTGGGTTCTCAACATCTCAACATCTCAAGGTCCTAAGTCTCGGTGACGGCCAGAGGTTCCCGCTTGGTGCGAGTGAATGCAAACATCAGGATAACCAACCTCCGAGTTATAGACACCTGCTTTCCCTGGCAACTGGTCATAATTCAAAAGCCGGCATCCAGAACGAATGGGCAAAAACAAATGAGCCGGTGTTGGAATTATGCAGAACTCACATTTGTAAAATAGATGCACATGTCCGTATTGACCGGAAGGTACTTCGCACATCTGTAGATTTTCCTTGAGCTTGAATGATTTTCCAAGCTAAACCAAAAGGAACCACTCATTTTAAAAGACCCCAATCCCTACAATGATCCGATTGCAATTGATACTCCAGTCTTTTTGGCATGCGCCAAGCACATGCAGCCATGTCAACAGCAGCCGTGTTGGCTGCGCCATTTGCAGACTTTCCATGCCAGGTTCAGCCACAATTCTGCCTTGGATCCACTCATCTCTGGGGGCGTCAAATGACACGGTCTAGAAGAATCAGACCCGTCTCCTTGTGGTGAACAAATGTTCGGGCGAAAAGGCAAATGGGATGGAGACATCGTGGATGCAAATGAGCTCATTCTGCGAATTTTTCCGACAGTCACAAAACGCATCTGGGCGGCAAAAACGGTCTAGGAAGCGCAGGCATGGTCGAAGGATTTGTTGGCCGCCTGTCTGTTGGGTAGGCCTTATTCTTATGCATAGCTGAACGCAGTTGGCAAAAGCACGCCACCGCGTGGGCCAGCCAGCGTGGCGCAAAAAACGAGTTCCCACGGCTCACCGGCCAGTTGTTTGAAAGAGGCCCTCTAGTGTGTATATCGTGCGGACTGGTGCTCATAGGCAACAGGGTGATCCTCACGATTCGCTTCCAATGGCCTTTTCAAATGTACTTTGCCTGGGCACGAGCGCGCTACGCAGGCACCACGCTGCTTGAATTCAGTGGATCATGGGATCGGCAGCCCGGACAGTTCCCAGGCATTGCTAGAGCCTATGCCCAGGTTGTGTGTTCAACGCCTTCGTTGACCTACAAGTTCTACATGATGGCTGTTCAGGATACCTGCAGGTATAAAGTTGGAAGCAGTGTGAGAATCACAAAGCCATGCGCAGCATGTCGCACAAGTTCCCTGGGCCACTGCTTTCATCGAAACCGGAGGGGTCATTGTTGCCAGGTCCGAGGCAAGAGCCGCGATCCCTTCCAGCAAGCGGTGCGTCACATCACCATAAGCCGCGGTCATTGCGTCGCAGCGCAGTTCGCTGCGGACCTCGGATCGCATCTCGAAGCCCACCGGGAAGTGCACGAGCAACCACACCACGCATTTCAAGAACATTAAAAGCTTGGTGAGACGGTTCCCTGTCAGCTTGGGCTTCAAGCAAACTTGTCGCTTGCAAGTGCGCGTCTTGTTGATGGCACTTTTCATTGTGCGGCGAGACACGACAAGAAGCATCAACAGCTCCAGTTGGACTGTTGAACGATTTTCTTCAATCACGCCAGCTTTTCAGGGAAATGAAAGGCAAACCGGACCTGTCTTTTGAGGGGGTCCATACCCAATTTTGGGACACCAAAGCAAAACTGGATAGACTGCATGCTGACTTGATTTTAAACATGCCCAGGAGCACGGAAAGAAACCATCAAGCTACAGTCAGCTTGGCTTCTTGGCATTTTGAGGAACGCCTGCAAAGGGAAACACCTCAATTTTCTGACGCCAGAATGGGGCCGTTCAAAGGAACCCTGTCTTTCCAAACGGACAGCCGTGCTGAGGGTGTTGATTTGCTGTGGTTGATTTACTATGCGGGAAAACATCGCAAATCGTTGACCGGACGAAAATTGCAGGGCAACTAGCCCAAAGAAGAGTGCAATCAAACATTGCGCAGAGCTTGCTTGCCGCAGTGGCTCCAGACCCCAGCCTTGAAGGTGAACTCCGACTCCAAACATTGCCGAAACCAGTGCACTCGGGTTCCCGGCTCAGGCCGGCATTCATTCTTGTGGCCTTTGCGCCCCTTCGCTCCGTCCGGCCTCCCGACTTTCAGCATCTGACCCCTCTGTTGGCAGGTTTCACGCGCTTCATGTGCCAGCGTGTGGCTGGCCCGGTGGCAAATGAAGGAAGCCTTGACTGGAAACAGCTTGACTGCAGGTGAGAGTCGAAGTTGAGCTCGTTGTCTTTGCAAGCTTGCGCTTCGCGGCTGGACTCAAGTGCTGCAACACATTGGCAGGCAGGCATCGGGAAACCCGCAAACCGTTGCAGGGATTCAACCGACACAAGCAAGAAGCCCACTCAGGCCAATTTTGACACCGAGCCATCCGAACAGTTTCAGTGCCAAGCACTTTCGTGACTCTCGTGCCTTTTGCTGAGATTGCAGCCAAACTGCAAATCAGCTTGAGTGGCACGAGCTTGAGGAGTGAGGGCTATCAACCAATTCAAGCGTTGCAAGTGGTGCACATTCTCAGCAGTGCTAGCGCTATGGGGCCCTGTTCCAGGTCACAAAGGCCCACAGCCCGTAAGAGTCTGGAGCACAAAGACATGTCCACTCCTGAGTGCTTTCCTGTGGGAAAATCGGGAAGCTAGTGTGATCCGCTTGTGGTGAAAACTAAACATGCTGCTTAGTTCGCACCTGGCCAAAACGGAAACCTGTGTCTGAAGAAAATGAAGTCCAGTTTTGGCATGCCACGCAGCCCCCCCCCCTGAGCGATGAACCTTGAAGTCACAGGATCCCAGTCCCATCCTTGTCAAGCGTGTCATTTCCCAAGAAGACACCGTAGCCTGCACTTGCCCTCTCCGCATTTTTCTGTATGCTTCACCACTTAGCAGTTTCGAGTTCTAGCATGTTCCAGCTCTGCAACCTGGAGGTTCAACAAAAACGGAGATAGAGGCACCCACGTCTCCCCAAGCCCCCAGCACAGCGGGCAGGTTCCGCGCACGGACCCGTCGCGCCCGTCGCGCCCGCGATCGCCCGCGCGCGAGCGCGAGATCGAGATGGATGGCGCCTGGCGGGCCCGGTGTTGGGCCTCGCCGGGGGGTGGGCCCTGCGCAGCTTCGGCGCCAAGACCTGGCCCCGCGTCCCCCAGATGTTTTTGGCGGATGGGCGCCGCATTTAGCGGCCGGTGGTTTTGGTTTTGGAAGCGTTTCGGGGTGTTGGGAGCCAAGAAAGGAATAGAAAGGATGGAGGCCTAAGCACATGTTGTTCCAGTTGCCCAGCAAATCACTTGATTTGAAGTAAAAGGAGGCAGCCTTAATGAATGTCGACCGCCCTCCGTTTACATCACTAGAGGCCACGGATTGCTTACCCCCTTCCGTTGGATGACTTAAAAGAGCAGGCCACCCCCCAAATAAGGCAAAACATGGACAAGTGCCTCAGGTTACAAGCCACACCGTGAATCTGAGGGCCTTGGCTTCTTATCGTTGTGCTAGCCAGCCTGCTTTTGCCCGGCGTGTCAACGACAGGCAGGGTGTGTTGAGGAAACGGAGTCCCAAATAGCTATGAGACCAACATGTGCGAATGGGTGATCAAATGTCTGTGCAGAAACGAGTGAGTCAATGAGGCAAGCTGTCCACTCACATTTCAACATTTCACCAGTGGAGAAATTCCAAGGAGCCTGGCAAGCTTGTTGCAGTTTGGGGTTTCAGCTTCCGATATCAAACACCCACAATCAAACTGAGAGGCTAGAGCCTCTGTGTACTTGCCCGCCTCGCCGCAACCCATTATGAACTCATTGTTTTGGCCGAAACCTTCGGCCAGGTCCACTCTGTTGGCTGCATTGCCCTCTGAACAATCACCTTGCCCCTATTTGTAGAGGGGGGATACGCCTACTTGTTTTCTGGTACAACCGACCACCCACCCGCCCACCCGCCCACCCGCCGCATTCGGAACCAATCTGTTCGCGCATTGAAGTTTAAAGGACCTTCTACCGGACCCCGGCTTGAACCCCCCTGGTTACCCTTCAAGCTCTTGCACAAATTCGTGAGCCTTAACTCCGACCGACCGTCGAACTGGC